CCCCCGCAGGCTCGCGAGCGAGCGGAGTGAGCCGGGCCGCTCGGCCGCCGGCGCTCACCTGCAGGGACAGGATGCTGATGTCGGTGTTGAGCGTGGTCAGCGGCGTCCGGGACCCCGGGTTCTGCCCGGGCCTCGGGTGGTGAAGGCTGACGATGGCGGGGTGCGAGTCCAGCGCGATCTGCAGGTCCAGGATGTAGTCGATGACGTGCTGCAGGATTTCCATCTTGCTCACCTTCTTGTTCTGCGGGATGCTGGGCACCAGCTCCTTGAGCTTGGAGTAGCAGTCGTTCATGTTGTACAGCAGGCTCAGCGGGTCGTCCACCGGGGTCTTGCTCCGGGAGATGCCCAGGCTGTGGTCCGAGAAGCTGCTTTTCCTAACGGATCGCACGGGGCTGAAGGCTTTCATGCTGGCCGCGCTGGGAGGGGAAAAAGACCGGGAGGGGGAGAGAGCTGCCCGGAGCTCAGGCCACCACCGCCGCCGCCGCCGCCGCCTACCGAGCAACCGCGCTCAGCACCGGCCTCGGCTCAGAATGAAGCGCGGGCCCGGCCGGGCAGCTTTTATCCTCACTCGCCCGGGCCTCAAGATTTGGCTTTCCTGCATCCCCATTGGCGGAAGGCACCACGTCTGTCAAACCAAGCGCGTGCTCTCATTGGGCAACGCGAACGCGGGGCGTGCGCTCGATCCTTCCGTGTTGGCAGCCAATCCGCGCGCAGTGGGCGGGGCGGGCGCGAGCCCAGCTGGAGCGGTAAATAGAGTACAGTAACCGGGCGCTGGGGAGATGGGGGGCCGGCCCCCGGGGGGGGAGGGGGAGGGCGCCCTCAATTCACACGCCGGGCCGGACCCTTTCCCCGGGGGAGCGTGCCCGGGGAAAGCCGTCTGCACCAGACTGAAGCCCGGGAGCCTCGGGCTTTCCCTGTACCGCCCTGCAGAGATAGCTTTCCAGCCGGGGAAGTGCAACCTGGCGGCCCCGGGGCGGTCTCGGGCGAGGGAAGCTGTTAGGGAGCACTCACCCGGGCACGTTCCCCGGCGGTTTGGTGTGGGATTTTGCCACCCGGAGCTACGCGGGAGGCATTATTGGAAACCCGATGAAAGAACTTTCTGGAAACTACCCAGCCTCGCGCGGACGGACCCAGGACAGCCTGGGGGTGGGGCGGGGTGCGGGGCACCGCACTTTCAGGGATCCTTTTCAAGTGCCGGCGGGACGGAGACAAGGATCCCACGGATCGGAAGTCATTAGGGGGATTTGCATATTGAAACTTCATTTGCATACACTGCCCTTGAAAGACTGCGGGTCGGGCCCTGGGGGGGGGGGGCGATTAATTATGCACAAGTCGTGATTTCGGTGTCACATTCCAGCGCCACCGCGCTGCGCGGGCTCGGTGTCGGTGTCGGTAGGTGGCCCCAGCCTCCGACTGACTTCTCCACGCTGCTGGCCCGGAACGGTGTCCCGACCCGAGATTGGAAATCTCAGCCCCACACTGGGAAGCGGCTGCCGGGCTGCGAACTCAGTTCGTGGTGCGTCCCCGGACTCCAGTCTTTAAGCCCCGTGGTTGTGTGTTGGAGGGGGGAGAAATCACCAGAAGGATCTCTTTTAAATGCAGAAAACAGTACACGAGAAAAATCCCACCGAAACTGTGTTAGTGTCTTCAGGAATTTTGGTCTCGATCCGTGTCCTTTGCATCTGAGAAAGAGGAAGGAGGCAGCGCTGGGGGCCCTGAGCCCAGCACAGCGCTGGCGAAACTATTTTCCTTTCAATTAATGATTAATTCCTCAGCTGGTGGCCCCGCGCTCGGTGACCTCACGTGACAGCCACGGGCCCCAGGGCTTCTCTCCGGAGAGGCCGGGTTGGTGGCGCGCAGACGGAGGGATCGCCCCACGACCCAGCCCCTTGGGTCAGGCGGCCGCGGCGGGGAGCCGCCCGGCCCGGGGGTGCGGCGGGCCTCCCCGGGCGGCGCGCGCTCCTCCCCGAGCCCCCCACCCCGAGCCGTTGGATGTGCTCGGTGCGTGCGTTTGTCACAGACGTGCCTAGGCGCGACAGACTTTGTTTTGACACTATTTTGGTTCGTGATGTGAGACTTTGACTATTTTACAATAATAGCCGATGTAAACAGCCGTCTCGGGGATTCTCGAATTATTCCTCGGGATTCTTGGACATCGCAGCTCGGCGGTGCTGGCGCCTTCCCCGCCTCTCCCAGGACACCGTCACCCCGCGCCGGCCTCCATCCCGGCCTCCCCGGGCGGCCGCCCC